TTATAGGTTATTATGTCTGCTTTCTTTTTTTGTTTTTTTTTAATTATCTCTTTCCGAACGAAAAGAGGAATAGTCAAAATGAGAGAGATAACAAATCATCTGCCATTTGTTTCCCCAGATCACCACTTTTAGAGATATATTCAAGCGTTTGAAGGTTACGTTTATCAGGTGCTTATCTTTCGGCATGACATGTCAAAAGAAAAACTTTACAAAGAAAAATAAATAAATAAAACAAGAAGGAAAAGATATGAATTGCAGAAAAAGCCAACATTTGATGGTTGACCGTGTAAAGCTGAGCACAGTTGGTGCTACGGGTTAAATTTCAACGTAAGACTTCCGGGTTAAGTACTTGACCATTTGCAGACAAAGCTGTGGATGATTGACGATCTTCTGTCTAGCCCCAACTCTCCACGTCGCGAAGCTGTTGTAAAATTCTGTCTTTTGACTGGTCATGACTGTTTAGGAGAACGTCTCCATCGTATTAAGATTTTTAACCATCCAAGCTGTTCCTTTGTAATTTGGCAGAGCCAATGAATCGAACTCACCTCCGCTGCTTTTCATCGCTCCATAGCGATTCTGAGACGACACTGTATAGCCAAGCAAGAGAACTTTTGATGAGGCAATGACTTCGGTTGACTTTCATGTTCTACTTCATTGTACTTTCTTACCTAGTTAGCTTTGCTGTTGTTCCTTTTGTATTGCATTGCCATTAGAAATAAAAAATAATTCCGGGTTAATGCTACCGATTGATTTTCATGCCTAAACTTGAAAAATCACACCATACAATATAATTATACTTGTAGTGCTTATAATATAACACGCTCTTTCAATTAAAAATTCAACGAAACAAACAATACATGAAGATTCCGCAAGCATGCTATGATGCAACCCAAAAAATAACAGAAGGAGATATTTTACGCAAATATAGCCAAGTTAAGGGACAATAACAGGAAAATGGCAAACTTTACACTTTATTTATGTTTTCTTATTAATATTTTAAAATCTGTCAAAGGCTCACAGCCTGTTAAAATTTGTAAATTTCAGAAAGCTATTTTGAATGGTAAAATTAAACTTAAATTTAAACACAAATTACAATAATAAAACTTACAAAAATGTTAAGTCTGTTCACACATCGCCTCGTAAGCATAACATAGGCGGAGGTATACACCGGAAGTTTTCTAAATTTCTTCCTGTTTCAGGAAGCTTGTTATTGTTTATATTCAGTCAACCATCCATAACGGAAGAAAAAATTCATGCTAAAAATTAATCGGCCAATTTAAAGGTTGAAATGCCACCGCGGTTAAGACAACTAAAACTAAAATAACTGAACTCTTATGTTTAAAGGATTTGCATTACGAATAATAAACAACAAAACTGAGTAAAAGCAGTTAAGATTAAAACGATGCGGTGCAAGTGTGATGTAGCAGCATCACAATTACTTTTTAACAGACCATCCAGATTCCAGTTTTATATGGCTTATGTAAAATATATTTTTTCAGAGAATTTCACATCGGACAGGAAGGAAAAAGTTTTCTTTTACCGATAAAAAATTAATTTATGACAAAAGAGAGGAGTAAACGGTAAGAAAATAGTAGGAAATATATGAAGATAAATTAAAGAAAATCGTATTGTAAAATGATGTAATAAAATTTCCAATAAGAATTTTATTTTCTATACCTAATTAGTTTGAAACAGCTGCAAGCAGACGATTTAAGAAAAATATTTGCTATTAATTGCAGTTTAGGTTGTGTAACTACATTCAATATATTTCTTAGAAGGATATTTTTACTATTTTCTTATAATAAATTAAAATCTTATGGTCATTTTTGGTCATTATATTTTCGTCTAGCCTTGTATGTATGCTGTCACTTTTTTCAACATGGAATTCTAAAAATATGAGACAAAGCTATTACATGAAACCTTTGATTCATAAACATTTTATCTAATTTATATAAGTTAGAGTTTTAATTTAGGCTAAATTATAAATTTCAATATTTAGGGATGCAGCATATAATTTAATATCACATAATCCCTCTACTCAATTATTGTAATATAAACTCTTTAAATTGAAGAAAACCAAAGGGAGAAGTAAGAAAGTAGAAAGAAAAAAAAAAGAATGGCTGGCCCATCGTCGTTGATTAAAACGCTACTCTCCTCTGTAGAAATTAGGAAGCATAAAAGATAAATATAGCCCTAAACTATTGAACCTACGTATTAACCTTTAAAAACCAAGCTTGCACAACTGTGCGAGGTAAATATTAACAAATAACTGAATAGTGGTAAGATAATAATTTTAAATCACGTTTGATTTTAGTAAAAGTCTTTCTTCTTCGCTTAGCTACCATTTTGAAATTAAAAATATCTTTGCTGCATTGTAACAAATATTGAGTTTACTCTTAAATTTAATAACTTATTTAAGTAAATATGGACTATCATTAATTTATTTGAATAATATTTATGACAAAATTACTTTCTTAGCACTTTTTTAGCATTTTGAACTATTTATAAAAAAAGAAATAAATACTTTCAACTCGCATCAGTCGTTCTAAAAGGGATAATAATATAATTAAATCAAAAACTTGCTTACGTGTTTAAAATTTCTATGAAGTTTAAGCCTAAAGGTAAAATAAGGAAATTTAGCTGCTGGGCAGTAGCCATCAGTTGTAGCTTTTCTTGCAGCATTTTTGTAGCATTTTTTACAGTGGCCACTTTCTAAATCATGTTATTACATTTACAAAAATTAAAATTTTCAAACTATTGATATTTATAATGTCATTTCTCTTGAAACATTTCTCAAAATATGATAGACATAACAAGATTGTTTACAAAAATGAATTAATATTTTAAGAAACAAGCTTAAACAAAGTAATATTCACTGTATTATAAATATTCATAATTCCATACTTATAAAAAAGAAATAATCATTAAAAAAAAGAATCATAAAATGCCTTTTCGGCAAAAAAAGTGGCTGTAGCAGGCAATTTTTTAAACGTCATCAAATAACCCATAGAAGGGGGGTGGCCGTGATTTTTGCCCATGAAGTTTAAACAACAATAAAACTGAAACATTAGTTGTGAATTATAATATTAAACAGCATAAATCAGGTTCTTCTTATAAAAAGTCTTAAATTATTATTAAATATGCGCATATAACAAAAGCAAAAATGTATCGCAGTTTGTCAAAGCACTTTAAATATTGTTTTTCCTGCCCATGACTGCTCACTCGCATGATATAGATTTTAATATATTTCAATCTGATAATCGATACTCTTTCCTTCATCAAAAAATTTTTTATTCAGATATTCTTAAACATGTACGATTATGTGTCACATGCTAATCACTTATTGTTTTTGCTGTCCTTTGTTGGGGACTCTAACCCTAATCCGTCTACCACTGAGGATATGTTACATCAGCACTGTGGTCGGTGCGAGCCGAGTTTTTTTAAAAAATGTTTACTCGTTTATTATCATCTACAGTTTCGTTTTATGCATCCTACGAGAAATCTGCGATTTAAAAAATTTGAGATATCTATTGAGCAAAGGATAGTAGAAAATAAACAAAATATGTAAAACGCAGAAAGTGTTATGTGCTATTTTAATGACATGAGAAAAAAGGCATTATTCTCCATTATGCGGCAAGATGGAGGCTCAATAATTCCTTGAGAAGGCTTAAGATGTGATAGTTCTAGCCTCTTCTCAAGACTGTATGAAGGCTTTTGACAATTAGCCGGACAATACCTTCATTTACGTTACAAAATTTTTACAGCTTTGGCTTTTGAGTAATACGGTGTATACCATGAATTGCCTGCCCTTTTATCTGATCTATATCCCCAAGAAAACGTGAGGTTTTTTTTCAGTAGGACAGTATATACGAAAAAGTAGGAGTTTCAGTTTGTATTCAAATTGAAAGCAGTCATCATAGAAACCAGGGATAATTATGATTCTAAAGTCATCCAGGGTTTAGTAAATGGTACGCATCATCATATATTTCAAGATATACGTAAACATGGCAGTTATATAAACTATAACCTGAGAAGATTTTATCTCGACGGGGGACTTTTTTCCTCTTATTTTTACTTGTTCGATATTTTTTTCCTGTTTAGTTGAATTATTCTTTGTAAATATATGTTAAGATATAGACTTTAGTAATATGTATGTTTGGTTCTCATTTTTTTTTGTGTGCGTCCAATTTATCAAATTGGGGATTAATACATGTAAATATGTGTTTAGATATAGGCTTTGGTAATAGCTTTGATTGCCTCACATTTGATTTCTTTGTGTCCAGTTAATCAAAAGGTGGATTACTCCATGTGCTTAGATACAGACTTTGGTAATGTGTATGTTTGGTTTTTAGTTGTTTTCTTTGCGTCTAATTATGACAAAAACTCAAAGTGGCTTCATCTATTTGGGGCACATGGTATTGACCAAGATATTTTTCACCATTTTATAGTTATTAAGTCACTTATAAGTAAATCATATTTACTTCAATGAAAATGTTATGTAATTTTTTTCAGTGGACGTAAGTAATTAATATACTTAATACAAAACAATTTGAAACTCTAAAGCAATATTGAAAAGTATTAAACTAATTAATCAAATTAAATAACCTTTTTGGTGGAAAATATTCAAAAACTTTTAATGTAACTAAATATTAAGTAAGAATTTTAAAAAATGAAAGAAAGAAATAACAAATTTGTCAACGAGGCTACAATGGCAATCACTTAAAAGTATTATGATTAAGTTTTACTTCATTAGAATTTGTAACTAAATATAACGAACCATTATAGCTAATAAAGAAAAAACATTTTGATCTTTTGATTGAAAATTTTTTAAATTTGGCAAAAAATATCATGAAATAATTGTCTGTGAGGAGGGAGGGGGTTGAAATGGAGATAAAGCCTCCCCCTTGTATTTGCGAAGAAACAAACTAATGATATAATTAAAAACACGAAATGAATTCCAACTTTAAGAAAGTGTAGGGATGAGTAAAAAATGTTTCAAGTAAATTTTTCTATTGCTTGGTTACTTTTTATTCAAATTTGCAAACATTTATAGACATATTGCACATAAGTTACATAAAATGGGAAATATTTAAAGCATTGTGAATTTAAATACAAGGAAGGCAACTAAGCTGCTACAGATTTAAAGATATATAAAACTAAATTTGAAGCAAATGAAATTCATAGCTGAGAATAACAAAGTAATTCAACACAAAAGCATGACAACGGATTTACTATCTTGCATAGAGAGATAACAGGAGAAAATTTTATAAATTGTAATGAGTTTGTTTGCAAAGAAAAATTGAAATGATGTGAGGAAAAAAAATAGGAAATAGCTATAATATTCCACAAATACATGCAAAGAAATAAAATATTGAAAAATACTAGAAAACCTAAAAATATGGTTAAAAATAGGAAAAAATCTTGGGCATGCATAAAAGAGCAGAGAGACTAAAGCTTAAGACAAGTAAAAGATATAAATACTGCATGCAAAAAAAGGAAACTCTTTATTGAAGAATAAACTAAAGAATAAGGAAACCAGATATCACCAAAAATATGAATCGCAAAAATGAAGGTAGGAAATAAAATTGCGCATAAAATAGTATTAAATATCGAAGATATAAAAAAATAAATAAATGGAAGAAAAAAAAAGCATTTTAAGAATTTAAAGAGAAAAAAAAAAGAACATTCAAAGAGTAAATACATGCAAAATAACATAATAAATGAACACAACAAAAATAAATAGAAAAACAAGGGTAATCTTAAGTAATTTAATTCCATCGAATTAGAAATGAATGCAATAGAAGCAAATTTTGAAAGGAAAATACAATACCCAAATAAGTAAAGCAAGCAAAGGTTTAAAGCACATAAATAAAAGTGAAATAACGCAATATTTAAAAAAGGAGGCGAAAGTGAAGAAGGCAGGAAGCTCTAAAAATGGCTTTAGAACTAGAGAAAAATCACAAACATATGATAATGCAAGACAGTAAAAACTAAATTTTTCAGAAGATGCATAATTTGTTATATAGTAGTGGAACAAAATAGTTACAAACATAAAAAGAAATTATGTTACAAACATAAAAATAAATTATGTTACAAACATAAAAATAAATTATGTTACAAACATAAAAATAAGTTATGTTACAAACATAAAAATAAATTATGTTACAAACATAAAAATAAATTTAGTTAATATCCATATCTAGCATATCCCAAACCACCTAAAATACCTAAACCGAGTCCTCCATATCCTCCATAAGCTCCACCATAACCAAGACCTCCATAAGCTCCACCATAACTAAGACCTCCATAAGCTCCTCCATATCCACCACCATATCCTAAACCTCCATATCCAGCAGCAGCTGCAGGTACACCCAAATATCCTTCACCACCGGTGTAAGGAGCATCGGAGACGAGGAGTACTGCGGCTGGGTTTTGGTTTGCGGTTCCGGGTTCGTTAGTCTTGACTTGGGCTCTGAATCCAGCTTTGTCGGCAACGTAGTTCACTTGTCTTTTAACACCTCGAGCATCGGTGAATCCGTAGCTACCAGTCACGTGCCCTCCTGTTCCCGATTCTTCCCTGTGTTGTTCACCATGCTTGTCTTTAATGCTGTATCCAAATTTGTAAGGCTTGGATGCGTGGTGCTCTTCTACTGGGAAATGACCATGACCCAACTGAAATAAACAAACGCATGTTTCAGATCGAATAATTCAATTATTTAACTTTCAAAGATAGATTTAAATTTTTGAAGTGTAATTGTATTTTTTTTAAGGACATTATTCGAATAACGATACTATAGCTCATTTTATATTATTCTGTGCTTTCAGATAGCTAATAATTTTATATGGAAATTTTAATTTATAAAATCAATACAATAGATTATAGTATATTTATTAACTGTAGCCTTATTCAACCATAACTTTATAAGAAATAGTTTTTTAGTTGTCTGGTTTAATAATCTATAGGTTTAAAAACAAATAATGCTTTATTAATATCACTTAAAGGCTTAAGTGCACAGCATTCAAACTAGCAAACTTCTTAAATATTTAATGGGAAATCAGCTTCACTAGTTATTTAGTGTCAAATTAATAAATATCAATCCTACAATATAGCATCAATGTCGGCCAGGTGGCCGAGCGGTTAGCATGCCTGACTGCGAAGCCAATGGCTGCGCGTTCGAATCCCGCTCTGGGCATGGATGTTTCTTTCTCTCTCTTTGTGTTCTATGTCCTTTCTCCTTTGTGTGTTATTGTGTGAATGTGACCCGCCCTATAAACGGGTTTGTGGTTGTGTGACGTGGGCGACGCTGCTCCACCGCCGTGGCTTCGCCACAGGTGCCCACTGGGTAACGAGAAGAGGGTAGCAGTTCTGGCACTTTCTGAGGTCAATGGACAATAGTTCCAAGTGCCCGCCATTAAAAAAAAATATAGCATCAATAGTCTCATCTCTAAAATGTTGCTGTAGTTCATTTAAGTCAGCACTAGAGCTGTTCAATGGACAATTGGCGACGGTCTGGGAAACATCCCTGAGGATGATCCGAAGAGGAGGATCATCACAATTTTTATCCTCTGCAGAGGGGATGAAACTCCGACTTCGTAAGCCTGACGACGTATGCAAAATTCAGCACTTTACCGGTCGAACAGTTTAACGAGGACCAATACCGGTCCCTACGCAAACTGATGATTCCGCTTAGTAATGGTTGTCCTCTATTTAATGACTGAATATTTTATCCAAATACTATTTCGTTCCAAAGACAATATCCAAATACAATTTCGTTCTATTTCAATATATAATATTATTGTTATTCTTATATTAAGTTTATTATTTCAATATATAATATTATTATATATAATATTAATATTTCAATATACACATATATCTCATTACCTAGTATAAATTCCAAAACCATCATTAAATCCTCAATCAATCATACAATCAATCAATCCATTATTAACTAATAAACAATGCGACAGCATCATTATTTCTATATTAGTTTGCAACAATCATTGCATTATTTATATTCTTTGATTTTTCATTTATAACACTCACCGTCATAGAGATGACGCTGAAGACAAGAACCAAAATGAACTGAAAAAAATAAACAATTTCATCAAATTATTCTATGGATTAAATATGTAGTTTGTAAATGAATTTGCTTTACTTTAAATTATTGGCCAGCAACCAAGTTTTTTTGTTAGAGAAAAATTGAGGAAAAAATATCATTTTGATCAAGGAAATTTGAAATATCATGAAATGTAAAATTTACTTTAACCTTAAAAAATTTAGGTTTTCTTATTTTTCGATTTCAGTCATATTTATTATAAATAATTATTTCTATTTTATTATTATTTATTTTCAGAAGTTATTTTTATTATTATATATATTTATATTATATATGTTATTATATAATTTTATGTTATATTTGCTATTATAATATATTTATTTATATATTTATTATTTTTATATTATAATTTTTATACTTATTATTATATTTATTACTTTTCATTATTATATTTATATTTACTATTATATTATATTTATTATCATTTATTTTCAGGAAAATTTATCTTCTGATTTATGGTAGTATTACGCATTTTATTAATGATATTATTCATAATGCGATTATTTATGTGACTATTCAATGTTTACATCTGATAGTTTACATAGTGCTGGCTATTAGCGAAAGACTTGTCAACAGATTAATTTGTTAATCTTTCTATGTGGACTAAATCTCTATAATTTGATATTTATAAGGGAATATTAATTTAAAAGTTGACTGAATAGATTAATAAATTTATCTTAATTTAAATAAATTTATGAAAAATTGTATTAATAAATTTATCAATATTAACTTTTCCTATTTACAATAAAAATATTTCGTGTTGATAGTCTGATTTTTTTGTCTAATTGTCTATTCGTTATCGGTCTTACCTTTTCTTTATCTAGTAACAACATAAGTTTGTTGTTAAAACTTTAATAATTTTTTTTTCTTGAACACTACTTTTAGATCAATACAACTACAATGATGCTACACATATCTTTAGATAAATAATAACAATGTGAAATAATCTTAAAATAAACAAAGTTTTAATTTCAAAGAAATAAGAAAATAGTTAATGTGATAGTTAATGTGAAAAATACAACAATTTAACAAAGAAAACCCCTTAATGGTCGCACAATTGTGAAGAAAATAGTTGCATAAGTGCCTATTTTTTATTCAAGAAAATTATGTAAATCTAATTGTATGTGCAATTTATGATAAATATAAATTTTTAACTTTTGGGTAAATTTTTAGCTTGAAATGAAAAACTAATTAATTATAATTTAACTCTAAACTAACTATCTCTAAACACATTATACTATCTCTAAACACATTACAAATCGACTATAACAGCCATCCAACTGAGAAATAAACATGATTACAGGTGTAATTTTAATTTTTTTGTGCGTTACTTTCATATACTCCAGTCCGGAAATATCATGGGCGTGATACCCGGTAGTTTTGAGGGGTCGAGAAAGAAGAGGTCAATATAAAAATTAAGGAAATGAATGATCATAACATTCTTTTTGTTTGAAAATAATTAATGGAAAAATAATAATTTTAATTTCAGTAGTAAATAAATAATTCTCTTACCTTGGAGATCATGTTTAACAAAGCTGAATGGTTACTGCTTATGCTGCATCAAAAATATTTTCTTTTATAGCAATCACCAAAGAAATGCATTTCAAATATTTAGAGTAATTTTTACAGGTGATTGATTCTAAGCTTCCGAAGTGAATTTAGTCAGACAAAAATGCTCGAATCTATCATTATTTCTATCATTTGATAGAGAAAGTGTCAAGGTCAGGAGAGATAGACATTAACCAACATTAATATGCAGATAGAAATTCTGATAACCTGAAAGATTGAAATATAATGGTTATGAATTCAGTTTGGTTGAATAGCTATGAATCAACGTAATTCATAGATGCATCATTACAAAATTAAATGGAATTAAAACTATTTACTTGTTATCGTTTTACTTAGATAAAAATAAACTGTAGTTTTTCAACAGAATTGAAGTAGTTTTGAAGTTATTCTACAGTCAAATATAAATTTTCTGTAGTGCAATACTAACTATAAAAATACTTTACTTTTATTTAACAGCTAATGAGCAGTATGTTCTCGATAATTAGTTTCAAAAAATATTTCTAGCCACTGTCTCAAAAAAATAATGTAGTTTATATAAAGTCACTTTAAAATCACAAATTTAAAAAATAATGAAATGCTAAAGGCATGGTTGTACTGCTGTAAATTTGAAGTAATTATACAGATACTGTTTCAAAAATATACTTTTTGAAGCCTCTGCAGAAAAACAGTTATTACTAATATTGTATCAATATAGACAATGCAAAATATATCAATATAATAGTGTGAGGAGCACTGAAAAATTGAAACAAAATAGAACACGCAAGTAAAAAACATATCACGCAAAAAATAGAAAATAAAATAGAAAAAAAAACATGAAAAAGTCACAAAATTTTAACCCATTTACAATATATCAATTAATAAAATTCCGATTTTGATTATTGGTAAATTCTACTTTATTTTTGCCTTTTTAATAATTATAGTTACAATGGAAACTATATTTTTATTTAAATTGCTGGAATACTCTCTTAGCTAATTTATTTTAAACTATTAAGAGAAAAAAAATTATGCTCTTAATATTAAATTTGCTCCTAGATTTATTGATGATTTAATTATCTTTAATTTTCAAGGTTATACAATTTTATTAAATATTATTTACTCCGACGAATTAATCTTGCTCCGTAATGATGATGATAATGTAAATTTTAATTTTTTTGGTTGTAGATATTAAAAAAGAATAAAATATCTACTTTGTTGAGTTCTACGATAAAAGAAATGATTTTAATTTTAATATAAAGTAAACTAATTATTTGGAATTCTAAAAACATCTGTTTAAATACAATTTTTAATCAAAAGAAAAAAAAAAGAATATGTAGTAACCTTTATTTATACAAAAAGCAAATCGACAAACTCTTTCAATGTTTGATAAAAAAAAAACAATGGCTACCCAACTAAAGTTAAAAAATTATATATAAAATCATTGAGTTAATTTTATGTAATTATTAATAAATTTTCTCTAAACTTCTTTGTTAATTAATATTTTTGCCATGTGTAAATCCATTCGGGCAAATTAGTGCTAAAACTTTGTGCAAAATGGGAAAATCACTTTACTCTCTCCCTCTCTCTCTCTTTTTTTAAAAATAAATGTTAATTTTCTAAAATCATTAAAATTATGTAATTAAATATCAACCTTATTAATTATAAATTTCTTTAAATTATCCGGTATAATATTATTACCTTGCGCACATCTATTTTCGGACCAATCCTTGATAACTAACAAACCAAACGTTCAGTACTGCAGTAAGAACGCACCATAAAACAAAATACCACTATTTAAGCTATTAACTCCATTTGCGCTTCTGTTTTCATATTTCGTAATCTGGCACTCTTATTACGAAAGTCTTTTAAATCATTCTTAAAAGTTTCCCGTACATGTAAGTTCGTTTCAATTCGCTACTCGCTTTATAGATTTTGTTTTGTGTTTTGTCCTGTTTCTTCTTTATATTTTATTTTCTGTTCTATGCGTGATATATATTATTTTTGCTTAATGTGCTCTATTTTGCTTCAGTTTTTTAGTGCACATTATTGTATTAATATATTTTGCTTTGGCTATATGAAAGCACTCCATTATGCGTATATAATCAAGTGAGCTGATGAACTGATAATAGCCTTTTATTATTTGTTTTTCGGCTTTTTAATAAACATATTTTTTTATATTTTTTTATATTCTTTTATATTTTTTTAAAAATATTTTTAAAATATTTTTTAAAAAATATTTAATTTTTCTTCCTTTTTCTCCACTAATCTTTAATATTTTCCATGTCTTCTCAATATTTTGAACTTAACTTATTCTACGATTTCTATATACTTGCAGCTTATGCGCAGTAAATAAAACTAATTAATTTTCTTTATTTTCCTCGTTTTTCTCTTTTTTCTTTTCATCCTCATTGTCAGTATTATGCTATATATATATATATATATATATATTAAACAAATAATTTTCTCAGATATCAGTTTTCACCTTGTATTCAAATCTCTAGGTTTTTCCTGACAGTCACATTATTTTATTTTTTTTAGTATTTGCAAATAGATATTCAGGGAGACTGCTTCGTTATGAAGTTTAAACTAACAATTGTTCTAAATATTTAATAACGTATTAGAATTAAAGATGAATACGATAAAAATTCTATTAGTACGTTTGTATTTACTGCAACTGAAATTGAGTTCGTATATTTCTTTATTTTTACTTCTAACTCGATTAATATTATCAACAGTTAAAATCATTATTATATTCTCCATACTGACATTCAACTTTTAGCAGGAAAAGAATTTCTGCATTTCTCAAAAGCTCTATCTTCGAAGAAGACTTGATAAACAGTGCTGACTTCATTCCATATCTAGAAATATTTTGTAGTGTACAAGTTTCGAAAACAGTTAATAATTAATTCATTCACGTATCAGACACACTTTTATTCATTATTGTCGCTACAAAACTGAATAGTTTTGGCTCCTCTCCTATCCATTCAAATCTTGTTACATATCTGAATCGGGTTGAAAAGTGAAACCGATCTGATAACAACTGGCAACAATTGTTATTTGGCGAACAAATAACCAGTAAAACTGATAACGTCGCCAACAATCAACCCTCGGTTTGTTAAAGATGGAATGCAGCGCCGGCTACACTTTTTAAAACTTCATGTATATATATCTTCGTCAAGATACCTGGGACTTCATTTATTGTGTTATTATCCTCGGAGACAAATGCGGACTCTTTACAATAGCAAAAATTCACTTTAAAACAAAGAGGTTCGCTTTTAACTTTCATTGCTCGGCTTTTCCCAAAATCTGCAAGAGTTGACAGTTTTAATTCAATAAGTTTTGCTTTTGCCCCCTCTTTTGCAAAACACAATACTACACTATGTGGGGACGGCTTATTCATCAAGATATTATTAAAACTCGTCTCAACAAAGAGTTTTGGGGTTCTTGGCCATCGAGAAAGCGTTTTGAAGGGAGGGGATGCGTCGAAGCTTTTGTATTAAAACCAACTGTGCCTTGTGCGGTGTTTTAACTTGAAAAATCTTCCCATTTCTATAAAAGATCCCACTTTGCTTTTAGAATAGCAGTGCTTTTACTTCAAACTATTGTTTCAATTCAAGAGTGGANGTTTTGTTTTCAACAACTAATACTGGGGACATGAAAATGACTGTTTTTGTGAGAATGACCCATATATATATATATAAAATTTTTAAATATAAAAATGCTTATTCTTATTTGTCCAAATGGCATTTCAATTTCGAGACGTTTAAATTTACTGAACCACTAATTTGCGACCACATATTAATAATAATGATAATTTTGGTTTCTTTTTTTTTATACACTAATATTTATTTCTCTAACTGCATATTGCTATCCTTTTAATGGAAATATCATAAAACTTATAAAAAGAATCTAAATTATTAATAGCTAAAGGTCGGGCACCTAAAGCGGTAGATAAATTAAACTTAAAATTACCTGTCTGTGCACTCACATTTAAGGTCTAAATCAGTTAAGCCTAAAACCCTGCTTCTACAGAAGAAAAAATTTCAACAGCAAAAAAAAATTTCGGTTGAACTCAAAAAGATAAATAAAACTAATTGGCAATCAAAATTCCCTTTTAATTACCAATTAAACAAGTCATATGAAAGTAATGACTGATTTCCTCTTTTTAACGTAAATAATCTTTTACAAGGTTTGGCCACCTTTTAGTTCTTGAATAGCATCATTAAGCTAAATTATTTTTTATTTAAATTTATTTTTTGTTATAAAATATGTTATTTACCGTTTTAGATCCGTGTATTCTTTTAACTTAAAGCAATTTATAACAGTTGCAGCTCGTTACGCTTTGGCTTAAAACCTTTACATTCATTCATAAATTCATTCATTCATAAATTCATTCATTCATAAATTCATTCATCATAAATTCATTGACTCTTATTATTAGTAATACCAAATAAGTGTACAAGGTGATTTTAACATGATAACATAATTCATCAAATTGGGGTCATTGGGGTAATTTGCATATTTGTATTTTATTTAAATGTGAAATAGGCTGTACTGAACACTTTAATAAAAAATACAACACGATACCACACGAACATGAAGAGAATACGAACACACACGAACAAGAAATCTAATTTAACTTGAGAAATATGACTTAATACTTACATATTATCTTGATTTTTGAGTAAATGAGTTTAAATCTAGAAGTATTCGAAATTCAACATAATTATAAAAGCGGATCAGCTGCTCGTTGGAGAAGTTAGTTTGCATGTAAATATATCTTTAAAAATTTGTTATCATTTTTTTTTTTGTGATTTAAGACAAAGAGTGGTCGCAATGTGATAATTTTGATAAGGATACACCTTAATCAATTCGGTTTATTTCCCGTTTCATTTATCGTCTGCACATTTCCTAAAACAAATGTGAAACCCGTGAAATGTATTTTCTTGAAACAATTTATTCATGTTAAATTCCTTATAAATGTGAAATTAACAATAACAGGTGGCTGAAGAATGGAATACTGTTGGTTATGTTGGGTTTTGCTTTTGTGTGTTAACTTTAATTTCTCTGTTCCTGTCCGAGCTGAGAATGGTTTTGATTTTTCTGATGAGCCGAATAAAAAAGTACAGACCACAATCGCGAACAACTCCGGAAACATTCAACACGCTCAAGATTTCTGTAAGTATAGGAAATGGTGTAAAAATTTAAAAAAATCTTAAATAATAGAAATTAAAAAAAATGTAAATTTTTTTTAAATTTTAGTCATATTTGAATACATACTATATATATATATATATATATATATAGGTTTTGTTATTTAAATTTTCCAAATATTTTATTATTGAAATGCATATTTAATAGATGGCAGCACTAAAATATAATTAACTTCATATTTTTACCAAATATTTATATTTTTAACAATTATTTTATTCGATATCAGCTATAAGCAAATTTAAATCATATATTTTTCTTCTTAGTAAATTTCTGTTGACTGTTTGATTAATATATCTCTTTTTAAGGCATTTTTTTTATCGGTAAGTTTGTTTTCTGTTTTTTTCTTCTTCTTTGATCTCAAATTCATTTTCAATTGCTTTTTTATTTTTTAGTGATACATATATAGATTATAAAGAATATTAAGGATATTTTCGTTTTATTTTATTTTGTATTTCTGTTATTGCGTTTATATAATATGTATGTAGTGATTTGAGGAGCAAAGGGAGGAAAAGAGACAATAATTAGTTTAATAATTAAACTTAACAAATTTAATAAGGAAGGAAAATAACTATAACAGTGACATTGATAGCAGAGAGCAGCATTTAAGAAGACACGCAGCATTTAAGAACAAAGACTGACGACTAAATTTAAATAGTTTTTGAGAAAAGAATAAGAGCATTAAATATTTCGTGAATTTTCTTCCCGTTCAGACACTCTGGCAACATGGATTCCGGGACTTTTCCCTTGTAGACAGACTGGCACCGTTCAACCAGGAAGTTGATGGTTTCGAGGATGATGAATGATTGGCAATAACAACTACTACATTTCGGCCATCCTGAGGTGAAAATGATTGATTCCATTTCAAAGATTAAGCCTGAGAGAAATTTACCAGAAAAAAAAACAAAAAAAGAAAAACTAGAAAACAAAGTATTAAAAGTAAAAAATTTTTTTTTAATTTATTGACCTCTGTTCCATGCGGTCAGCTGAAAATGAAGTGTTATTAGGTCCTTCATGATTCCCAATTTTTAATACATCGTATCTAGACTTTTACTTTTGTTATTCGGTAGGGACAGAGGAACTTGAGATATATGATAATAGCAATAAATAAGTAAATAAATAGTTTTTTTTTAAATAAAAAATGGTCATATATCCATAAATATTTAAGCTAAGATTATGAAACTTCATGCAATTATTTCAAATAACAATCAAAGTAAACAATACAAGTTATAAGTTTACTGTTAAATTTTTTGGCATGGATGGTCATAAATACTTATTTTCTTTTTGTAATATATGGTTGGTCCCCGCAAATATCTGAGAGTTTTAAACCTTATTGTTAAGAATGAAAAAGCGCATGAATTAAATGCCTCTGAAATTACAACATAACCTTCCAACTATTTCGTGAGAAATTTAAAAAAAACGTCAAAAACTAAAAGGGTCTCTTCCAAACGTATGGGGTAGTGTATATTAGATATTTATTTGTATCGAGATTATTTACATGTATCAATTGCTCATGTGTATGTATACTCTTTGTATTTGTAATAGCTTGTTATTGTGGATATGGCTCTTATGATTGCGTTCGTAATAATGGTGAAAAAATATGTTTCTGCGAACCAGGTTCTGCTCAAAACAAAGACGAATGTGAAAGTAAGGATTTTTGCTTGCTTACAAATCTCTACCTATCATAATATTAATTTATTTCTTCTAACTCATTAAAAACTTGTTACGATTTTAACTTGTACGAAATTTGCTTCGATAAATTGAGTTATTCTCAAAATAGAGACAAACGCGAAAGTAATAGTTTCAGTATGTGCAAAAACTCTATTGTATTTTATGTGCCATGAGTTTAACTAGTTTCTTTCTACAAAAAATAACTTACATGAAACTTGTTTCTGTAAATGTGATTATTATTCAAGCAAAGACATAAAAGATGTTTCTACAGTCCTTGGCTATATTATTAGACGTACGATAAGATTCTATGTAAAATTATAGTTATCATGTGATATTATACAGCTGTATTCTTTTTACTCGGATAAAACCGGTTTGCATTTGTTTTCGCTCCTGCATCAATTGGTTAACATTGTTATGCGATACGTTAAAAATAAATACAAAAAGGAAGTATATAAGTATATAAAAAAATCTCCTGAATAAAAACCCATTCACATGTGTGGGGGAGGAGTTATCAACCATACCAACCGCCATCTATCAAAAGGTACCTCGTGTTATATTCAAGTTAGCATGCTTTATATACCAGTGCATTGATGTTTAATTTTCGTAGTGGTAGTTACGCCACATTACTCCCCCACCAGAATTCTATCAGGGATAGAATTCGTTGTATAGTTACCACTAGTTGCTGTACTTGTGACAGACCGGGAGAGCGGTCACCGGAGTTTTGAGTGCTGAATGTGAGAGGTGTATTAACTTCACAGTAGAAGTCACTCCTGTGTTGACATTAGCAGTGGAGAGTATGGAGGCGTTGAGAGTGTATGACGTCGTGTATGTTCGAGACGAGTCTGAGTAGCAACAGCGCAGGAGGATGCTGTCACAAATAGCTAGTCAACTTTCAATATGGACTACTAGCTGTACCCTGCGTGCGTTGCAACGCTTTCAATTTGAATTTGAATTTTGTATTTAAGTGTGTACATGACATTTGCGATTATGATTTGAAATGCAAATTTTATTTAATGGTGAAAAAAAGCAGTTAATTCTCTAGGATATCATTAGTGCATTTTCAAACAGACATGTATGGTGATGCACATGGAGCATGAAACATATTTTGGACAATGATCTGAAATAAGACTGGATCTATGGTGACATCAAGAATTTCTGCTGATATCTGATCAGTTTTAGAAGGTGGTTTTTTTTCAATAAGCCAAATTAGAATGTGTGCCTGAGGCAATCCTCGTTTTTGCCATTCAATAGAGTACACCCAACACCGTGTCTCTCTAAAAACATGACGCTTCACAATGAAATCAAGTAAAGATATTGTTATTAAAAAAGACACACGTGCTGTAATATCATGACG